GACGTTCTATACCGTTACATGTATGTCATCACTGACGTACTATACCTCTACATGTGTGTCATCACTGATGTGCTATACCGCTACATGTTGGTCATCACTGATGTACTATAACACTACATGTGTGTCATCACTAATGTACTGTCCCGCTACATGTGTGTCATTACTGACGTACTATACCGCTACATGAGGGTCATCACTGATGTACTATACCGCTATATGTGTATCGTCACTGATGTACTATGTACTATACCGCTACACGTGTCGCATCATTGATGTACTATACCGCTACATGTTTGTCATCACTGATGTACTATACCTCTACTTGTGTGTCATCACTGACTTACTATACCGCTACATGTGTGTCGTCACTGATGTACTATACCGCTTCACGTGTGTCATCTCTGATTAGCTGTACCGCTACGCGTTTGTCATGATTGACGTACTATACCGCTACACGTGTGTCATCACTGATGTACTATCCCGCTTCACGTGTGTCATCACTGATTAGCTGTACCTCTACGCGTTTGTCATGATTGACGTACTATACCGCTACACGTGGATCATGACTGAGGTACTTTACCGCTACACATTTGGCCGTGTGTCATGACTTACGTACTTTCCCGTTACACGTGTGTCATCACTGATGAACTATACCGCTTCACGTGTGTCATCTCTGATTAGCTGTACCGCTACGCGTTTGTCATGATTGACGTACTATACCGCTACACGTGTGTCATGACTTACGTACTTTACCGTTACACGTGTGTTATCACTGACGTACTATACCTGACCCTCATACTATACCGCTACACGTGTGTGATGACTGACGTAATTTACCGCTACACATTTGGCATAAATGATGTACTCTACCGCTACACGTGTGTCATGACTGATGTACTTTACCGCTACATGTTTATTATCACTGATGTACTTTACCGCTACATGTTTGTCATCACTGACATGACGTACTATACCGCTACATGTGTATAGTCACTGATGTACTATACCGCTAAGCGTGTGGCATCATTGATGTACTATAACGCTACATGTGTATCATGACTGATGTACTTTACCGCTACATGTGTATCGTCAGTGATGTACTATACCGCTACATGTGGATCGTCACTGATGTACTATACCGATACACGTGTGGCATCATTGATGTGCTATACCGCTACATGTGTATCGTCGCTGATGTACTATACCGCTACATGGGTATCGTCACTGATGTACTATACCACTACATGTGTATCTTCACTGATGTACTATACCGCTACCCGGGTGTCATCACTGATGTACTATACCGTTACATGTGTTTCATCACTGACGTACTATACCGCTACATGTGTGTTTTGACTATATCTTTTTTACAAAGAAAATGTTACAAAAATATGTTTCCGTGTCTTTCTCAGTGTCAATATGTCTATGGGATGCAAGATGTCCAATATAATTCAATTATTTGAATTAGACTGTACAATATTGGTCACGTGATTCATAACAAGTCGCACGTTTGTTATCATTCTTACGCTGGAGGTCAAATTTTGCCTGTTTACATACCTCGTAATTTGTTGGTACGAGAAACAACAATAACCAAAGTAGATAAATCATGTACACTTCCTTGACGCACACTTTCACACAACTAAGATTTGAATGGCTCATGAACTTTTCCACGCCTTTCCTTGATGAAAGACCCAACCCAATTTCAATCAATTTTGGGTCTACATTCCCCAAAAGTTTCATTTTGAGTGTTCATTTTGGTTTCTCAATTACACGGGTATTGGACAATATAACTTGACGTCATGCTTTACTGAAGATGTTTATTTCAATCTATCAAACGCGTTAATCTATCGTCATCATTACATGAAATTGAAAACGACACTTTATAAGCCTATAAACATTCAAAAATGTCCTCTTCATGACAAGTTCGGGTGGAACATTCTGATCTTGAGAGCATGTTCAAGGTTTTAAGTAAATCCTGAGGTAAAACTGAAACTTGTTTTATTGTTCGGAAGCTAATGTTCAATTGCATTCGAAAATAAATGCGTGTGCGCTTATCCGGCGAAGCAAAGGTAACATTTTCAATACGGGGGAGGATTTGGGGAGAGCGTTACACGTGCATGATCTGTTGGAAAATGTAACCCGCACGTCAATGGTCTATCGTCCAATAGTGTATTTGCTTTTAACCAATAAAGTGTGTTCTTACATCGCAGACGTGGTAGATTATTTCTTATCCGATAAACTTCACGGATAAGTTGTCTCCCGTTTGATGAACTCTCCGCATATTCGGAGCGCTGACAGAAAGACTGCAACCGGCTAACTTCAGACATCATGGCTCCGACCGCTGTTGAGAAGGGGGGTAACAGGTAAGGAAGGAGTGGGGAAAAAAACCTTCTACCTGGCCAAATCTCTATGTACATGTACCTGTTTGGCATATGTCATCGACTCCGGCCCATAGTTTGTTGCATCTACGACTGGCAAGGTCGGAGATCAGGACATCGTGAATAGTCAATATGATAGATAAATACCTTCATTGACGGTTTGCATTTCGTGTGTATTCTAGAAGATACAATGTGTAAACACTAACCAATCAAATGTCGAATATCAACTTTGACGGGTAAAGGATTTCAACATATTACATAGGTATAGCTATGTCTGCCTCATTTACACAGTTATCTCCCCCTGATAGACGTGTGACTATATTCTTTTATATTCTGTAATGTATGTTTTTATGGTTTGGTTTTATTTTGTTTAACGTCCTATTAACAGCTAAGGTCATTTAGGAACGTGCCTCATTGTGCGTTGTATACGCGTGCATGTGTGTATGTGTGCCGGAGACAGGGTATGTTGGTGTACTTGCCTCCTTGTGATAGCGCGGATCTGATGCCGATTTTATAGCGCTATCACATTATACTGACAACGGGTGAACCAGTTGTTACCGTTCCCCTAAATGCTGAACGTTAAGCAGGCAATAACAACTATCATTTAAGGACTTTGGTATGTCACGGCCTGGGGACAGAACCAATTGCCTTCCTCGCCTGGGCGAACGTTCAATATTAAAGCCAAAAGTGAGGTGTTGCCAAGCAAGGCGCTAGGAAATAAAAGTTACTTAGAAGCAGGGGGTTCATGCATTAGTCGCCTCTTGCGAAATCATAAATGTAAACTTTATTTATTTTACAACAATTATGAAACAACTTATTTCAACTCATATTAATCACTCTTGTTAGCCTGGATGTTAGCGCACAGGAGGTCTTAGTGTGGGAGGAAACCGGAGTACCACTTGGTCGGACAGGTGACCCCCTACCTTTTCACGTCCGATCGGGGAATTGAACCCCGGTCGCCTTGATGAAAGGCAAGTGCGCTATCAACTGCACCTCCCGACCACCCATCTAACGATACCTGAAGTGGGTAACAGCAGGTGTATTCATTTCTCAAACCTGACCTGCAGTGGTGGTATGTTTTTTTTTATTAATCAATATTTTCATTCCCGTCGCATGTGAATGATTTCCAATCGGAATCTGTTCCGGTCTTAGGCCAAAATGCGACGTAACTAGTAATCATAGAAAACATCAGTGTTTCCGCCAAAAAAAATGGCTTTGTATAAAATAGTTTTAAATCGTACAGTTTCGTGAACCGAAAGAAGCCACCCAAAATGTTTTGATAATAAATATCATGGAATGTATCTTTTTAACACTAATGATAGTATGCAACAGTTTCGTTCAAATATAATCTTTTAAATCATCACGTTGATAAGTGCAAAAATTATTTGTTCATTGAACTAAAAAAAAATTACATATCAGAATACATAACATGTTAAGAATTATCAAAGAACATTCAATATTTTCATAAACCAGTATATGGTTCTTATCTGGCACTGTCAGTTTTCATAGTACGTTCTTCTCCTTTGTATTTAAAAAAATAAGTTTTTTCTAAACTTTAAAATCTGAATGCATATTCAAACTGTCAAATACGAAGCGCATGTGATGCTAACAATTCTTTTTTCTTACTGGGACGAGTGATTTTTGCGTCACGAGTGTACAGATGACGTCATCGTTGTCACTTTGATGTTTAGGTACAAGGGTTCTAAAATTGTTCAACTTACAAATTATCATTTAATTGTTGTCTAATGATCACTGCAAAGTTTTAAACCATCCCTACAACTGCCTCTCTATACCTTAATGCAAGAAACCCTTTTAAAAGCATAACAACAAATCAAGTTATGTTTATTTTAAGTGCGTTATTCCGTCTTTGCGTATTGCAGAGTTATCATCTCTTAGGAGCAGGTATTGATTGTTACGTCACTTGTTTGTGAGAGTAACGTCATCAATTTTTGAGAAAACGACGTAATTTTCTCACACAAACCAATGACGTAACAATCAATACCTGCTCCCAAGAGAAGATAACTCTGCAATAAGCAAAGACGGAATAGAAAGTCTTGATCACGGTGTGTGATGGTGGTGACGTCAAAATAGCCTTTAATTAATCAATGAAATTGATTTGAAGAAAGAATATATTAATTATTTCGGTTATTTAAATATAATCTTTCGTTAAACGATAAACAATAAACGACTTTTACAAGTAAATTGAAACAAGTACTGGAAGCAAGCTAAAAGCTTACGTGAATTCGTTCGTAGTAACAACTAAGAAAGCCTTCTTGGCAAGAAAATAAGTAATTAACGAAAATAAACGAAATAAAAAATCTCCTTGGCAGTAAATGAAAATGTTGGCAGAAACTTGATATAAAAATCCTAAACATCACGTTATTGATCCCAAGAATAAATAACGGTCAAGCATCATCATAAAACATCTGCTGGGGACTAAAAGCCAGTAAATCAAAGACCAATCTTTGTTTCCTGAACGTTTAAAAGAATTTGATTATCGCGAAGTAAAATATAATTGATTTTAAAAAAAAAATCATTAAGATTCCATGACGTGCAAAGGGAGGTCACTCGCGGTTTTTGATGGTAACATCTGCGTCGTGTGTACACGTACCAGCCGGAACAGCCAACACGTGTCCGCCACCGATCAATTGACAATACTATCGTAGCTTAAAATCCCGTATACTACTGTTGAATATTAAACTGGGAAATATCAAACGGCATTTATGTGTGGCTGGTAAAATTTTGAGAAAATAATATCTGGAAGGACCTGTGAAAAAAGGAGAGATTTATGTTACATTGACTGTTAAAAACACGTGCCAAAGGATTTTCTTTTCTGTGGTACAAAAAGTTGTTTAACTCAATCTGTACAAGGAAGAGATGAAACCGGTAAAGATAGCATCGACCTGTGGCCTTCTCGTGTGTTTCCTTAGCATTGTCTCAGGACACGTTCTCAATATTACGGAGAAAAATATAAACTCGGTAAGTTTTACACGCAAGTCACTATAAAAAAAATCCTGTGAACTATTTTCAGTAATTTGACACTTAATTTGAGTTTAGTCTTGAATTATAATCCGAAGATTTTACATGTTATTCATATATACTATAAAAGGTTTAGAAATGAGTTATGTGGACGGTTCCTGCCTTAATGATAGTCAAGTCTGTAGCAGTGGGGATGATGGGATGTAAAACAACCAAGAACTTGAAATTGAAATTTAAACTGCAAGACGATAGCATTTGTAAATCATTTATGGGGAAAAAACCGACATTGCAGGACGTATCAATTCAAAAAAAATAACACCATATTTCTGAAAGGAAACGGGTGGACTTCGATCACACTTCGGTCGCCCTAACCACAGGGGTAAGGCACAGGCCCTAACCAACTTAGCTACCTGATCAACGGTAGACTATCAAAAACGAAATAGAGGGTATGTTAAAGTTTAAAAACTACACCGGAATCATCTTTTATTATGCCTGCTAGTGGAACAATGATTCTTAAAGCACGATTTTCACTCGACATGACCGTGCAAATTATATTAGAGTCGGTAACATGTTATCTCGTTTGGTACGAGATTTCAGACCAGGGACGTAACCAGGACTATGAGTATGTGGAAGCATACGAAGCGCGAAGCGCGGAGTAGGGGGTGGGTTCGGGAGGGGGGTTACCCCCTCCTGAGTTTG